ACTCATCATAATACATAAGCTATAGAGATAAATAAGATAAACTCCACCTTAAGTTTACAGTCAATGGGAAAGATAAGCCTGGGTATAACTAGCAATAAAATAAGTCAGAATGTTGAGTACTACAGAGGAGGAAAGGAAGAAAGGAAATGCTGAGCAGTAGTCAAGGAAGTTGAATGGACAAAGAAAGGGCCATTGCTTCCCAGGATCTGTAAGTGAGGAGATGGCTGATGGGAGCAGTTTGGGCACAGTTGACTGATACAGGCAGAATGGGGAGAAAGTATGAAATGGGAAGGAGATAGAAGTCTAAGATACGCCCTATAGACATGGTCTATACCTATACCATCTAACTTACCATAGTCCTCTCCCCTTAGCCTGTGCTAAGGGAATGGGATTAGATAGCCAAGTTTACGGCCCATGTTCTCACATACCCCAAACTGCTGTTGACTGCTGAGGGGCAGGGGTTAGACAGTCATTTGTAACATGATTCCATGCTTAGGACTGCAGCTGACTGAACACCTTACCAAGGAGAAATAATTTATGGCCAGACTGAGCTAATTAGATTCTTTCTATGAAATTCTGAGACCATTATGTAGACCCATAAATGGAAAGATCACTTATGAGTGGCCCAGAGTTGGTAAAGCAAGCCAAAGTCTGAAGGAAACTGAATAAGCAGATAAAGTTGATATGTAAGGTTTGCAGAACCAAACAACTGAGGCCCTATGAAAGGAGTGGCCTGGGTTTCTAGCTTTTCAGTACCATTCTTGAGGTGGCACTGCAACGCCTCATTTCTGTGTCCCTGGATGCCGTCATTTTTTTTGCCTGTTAATATCCTTTCAGTAAATCCCCTTCTTAAACAAGCTTATGTCCGTTTCTGTTCCTTGCAGTGAGACAGCCCAACTTAGACTCAAGTTTTGATCCTTAGTGATTGAAACGGTGATACCAAGGACATTTATGAAAGCGAAGACTTCATTTGGATGTGCTGAATTTGATTGGTGGCGAGGTATCCATGTGAAACTATTTAGCAGTAGTTGGAAATGGGGCCTGAGACCCAGGAAAGGTTAAAACTAGAGATACAGGTCTTCACAGCATACAACTAATAATTACTGTGATAGAAATGATTAAGGCAGGCCCTGGGAGATAGCACAGAAGAACAAAAGAGGACAAAATCTTGGGGAAGTGCATTTAAAGAATGAGCAAAAGACAGAAAAGGAGATGGAAAGTAACGGAAAAATGGTGGTGTAAGTTTCAAAAGACAAAAGTGGCTTTGTACTGATCACATACTACAGAGAAGTAGGATGCCACAGACAACACAGGGTTGGGTAATTGGGGATAAAGCCAGGTGCATATGGTTTGAGTCGTAAATAAGACATAATGAATACTAAGTGTGAAAAGCAGAGCATGTGGTGCAAACAAGATCGTTTTATCAAATATCTAAAAAGTAAAAACCACTTTGTTTCTCGCTGTTTTACTTAAATTTGAAACATTGTAAAATGAGCATAAAATAATTCGCAGCAGTGACAGGAGGCTGTATCTCAGCCAGATCTTAAAGGATTGCTAAAAGGATTAAAGGATTGCTAAGAGGAAGATGGAAGGAAACTTAAAACATGTATGTGGTTGCAGACTTGCTCATGGCAGTTCACATGTGCAGAGGAAGAAGAGTTTTCCTACAGAACTTAGCTGTCTTTCCTCTTGACCTCCCACCAGTGGGAAATCTGGAAAAAAAAAAATTAACTTTTAGTTCTAATCGCTTTAAAACCTAGCCTTATAATACCTTAAACTCTTGGTATATTGTTCGTTATTTCTGTCCTTTGTCATCTTTCCAAAATGGTGTCCAGATCTATGGAGGAAGGGGCTTACATGACACAGTGGCATCAAGGAAGTCAGTGTCGTCAGCTCTTCCATTCTCTGGGCATCTTCCTGGCCTCTAGGCACTCGGCCGTGGCTTATAAAACGTGATCAGGTTTTTCCTGGCCTGGATAGTATGCCCCAGTAGTTCTCGGCTAGACTGGCCTCCCCTTGGTTCTCTTAGCTGTGGAGGACTCTGGAGACTTCTGCAACTCTGTCTTCTGAAGTCTCCTGAGTCTCCTCTTGGGGGAGAGAATATGGGAGCTTGTGGGACCCCACCACAGCACACAGGAACAGAGGGAAGCTCGGAAGAGCAAACCACATCACTAAGGTTTGCTTTGATGTGACTGCCCTAGCTGAGAGGCTATCTTTCCAGAATGCTGGAGACTCCTCTACTACCCACCATATTTTCGAGTATTTCAAAGCAATAAAAGGCTGACTTGCTACATTAAACAATATAAATGAATCACTAATGCTGAGCAAAAGAAGTCAGATACAAAAACATATGTACTGTTTGATTCCATTTACATAAAATTTGGAAAACGGGCAAAACTATGGTGTTAAGAAGTCAGGATAGTAGTTGTCTATCGGAAGAGGGTTAGAGGAGCTTCAGGGAAGGTTGCGGCATTTCCTGTATCATGATTAACAGGGGGCTAGTTTTGTGGTGATTCATCCAGCTGTTCACTTAAGATTTCTGTACTTCTCTGTATGAATGCTTTAATTCCATTTAAAGGAAGTATATATTTTAAAAATCAAAAATTTGAAGAATGAGAAAACCAGAGCATTGGTTCTTAAACTATAGTGAGATTAAAGGTAACCTAGCTTGGAAAAATACAGATTCCACAGGCTGCCTAGAAATTTTGATTCAGTAGGTGTGACTCTAGTAATGTGTATTTTAAACATTTGCCCCAGGTGATGCTGATGTTCCACATTTTAAAAAATGCTGATTAAGTTATCTGTAGTTTGACAAACTATGGTAACTCTAAGGACAGATTTTCAAGTATAAGAAGTTTGTAATATTAGCCCTGGCTGGTGTGGCTCAATGGCTTGAGCGCCAGCCTGCAAACCAAAGGGTCACACTGGTTTGATTCCCACTCAGGGCACATCTGGGTTGCAGGCTAGGTCCCCAGGGAGGGGTACACAAGAAGCAACCACACATGGATTTTTACTCTCCCTCTTTTTCACCTTCCCTTCCCCTCTAAAAATCTTTTAAAAAAAGTTTGTCATATTAATTGCCATTCAAGCTTGAGTTTATTCGATCTTTAATTACTAGGAGAAGTAGTAGTTTAAAAGGCTTTTATTTTTTCCTGTAGCATGGTGTTATTGGATCCATTGAATTCTGCAGTTTTTCAAATTTGATTTTAAAAATTTCTCTTCCTATTGCATTTTTAATTATTACAGAGACACTTTGACTTTCCAGGACATAGAGCTTCTTAGATACAGATATTTAGTTCTAGATATATTCAGCATGTAATAATGTAAAAGAACTTTGTAAAAATCCAACTAGTCTTCCTATCTGCAAAGGCAAGATCTTAAAATGGAAAGAAAAGATTTGAAACATGTAGAGAACATTGCCACGTAAGGTTTGATAAAACAATAACAAAATCATTAACAAGTAAAATCAGTATAAGTGTCAGGATACATTCTGTGGTCTATACAGCTTTATTCCATTGTAAACATTTGTTGACAGCAAATATTCAATGTGGGGTTTTTTGTTTTTTGCATCAATGGAAGGTCATATCTAAAATTCCATTACCAGGTATGGTAATTTTCTTTAAGCAATATTTATCTTAAAACCCTTGAAACCCATTTTGCACGTTTTGTTACCAACATGAACTACAGAGTGTATAACTTTCAACCAGTTCCAGATGTTTTAAGAATATTTTTCAACAGAGACAACCCAATGGCAACCATCTCTCCTGGATGATTCAAATTATCTCTGCAAGCATGAGAATGAATTTGTTAAAGCATTTAGGTCTTTTCTGGCTCAGTGACTCTATAACATTAAATGAAAATAATGCCTGGTACAGTTTATTCAAATGTTCTTCCCATTTTATAACCACCAGCACCAGCACCACCCCCCGCGGTGGCCACCCCCTTCCCGGGGAGCATGCGCATGGAAAGGTGCTGAATAGAAAGACCTGGTAAACTTTAAAAATAATGTAGTGAGTAGGGGATATTTACCTAAATTGTTTCATCTGCTGAAGGAATGGGCAGTGGCAGATATGTTTGGGTTTTTCTTTTTTATGTTAAATTTTTAGACTACGGCTATGATTTGAATTCACAATACTTTCAAGTGAACATCAGTACTTGGATAACTATAAATTTGACCACCACCTTTATTCCACCTCCTTTCTCTACATTTAGAGATAATTATTTACTTTTAGATGGCAGAACCTCAATTTAAAGTACCTTCTAAAAACTTCACATACTTTTTTATTAATACTTTATCTGGCTTGAGCAGTAATCAGATTAAGCAGCCGCTTCATATGTATGAATTAATAAATTTGTGAATATAGGTCTCTAATCAAAGGATCATAGTGTCAGTTGCCTCTTCATAGAAATCTTAATTTGAAAATAATACTGGTCACAGGCAACAGTCATCATTTCCCATTAAATCTTAAAATGATATATCCTCCAAAATAACTATTGTGAAAAGCTCACTGGCAGCGCTAACTTGTTTGAAAAGATACTTATATGTATTTGTAAATGTTTACATTTATATATATTTGCCTGTATCTGTGAGATTGTATCAACACCCATCTGTAATACCAAAATAAGACTTATACTTCAACCCCCAAGCCCTTTGAAATTCCCTAAGTATCTGCTGCCTGAAACCGTTTTTGCCATTTCATAACAACTTTCAGCATACCTGTAATGACTTTCCTTCAATAGTATTTTATGCTTGGTTATATTTTTCTTTATAAAAATAGTTTTGTTCTTGATTCTTTCTCCAGGGTTAAAATTTTAGTCTCTATTTTGTCAAATTTCTGTTAAAAATTACACTATTCAGTTTTTCATAATGGATAGTTGTACAAAGTTTAATATATTATTTGACAAAAGTAAGTTCTAATATATGAAAGAAATTTAATAGGCAAAATATTAATCTGTGAACATAATAAGACAAATGTGTGAACATTATTTAAGAGCTGTTTTTCACAGCTGTTTACATACTGGTACAAGACTAAAACCTGCATTAGATGAGAGGTTGCAAGCTTCTCCGTAAGTTGGTGTCCAGTAATAGTGCTTTTTAAGGCCATTGGAGACTTCTGCAAGATACACATGTCCGTCTACCACATAGGGCTCCACATCCGTATCGTCTGGCTTTAGACGGCCCGTTTGAATTAAGTCTGAATATGCCTAAGATTTTTAAGAAAAGAAAAACTATATCATTACGTTTATTCACTCTACAATGCTTAAACAAATTAGTCATGCTAATTTGCAATTTATAATATTCTGAATAACTGCTGAATTTTAATATCTTTCTGGTACTGTGGTTTTTATTCATTTAATTTCATTCAATGAAATGAAAATTTTATAACATTTCTAATACACTAGGCACTTTTAAAAAATGACTACCAGAGTTAACAGTTACCAATTTTGTGGACCAAAGGTCCCATAGTCAAATTTCAAGTCCCACAGAGGTTCTTAATGAGGTGGGTGGGAGGTGGCTATTGTAGATCTGATGATAGGGAGGAAACCATTTCTCAGAAGAGGAAACAAGCACAGATTTTGTCATACCACTATGTGGAGTTCAAAAACCCGCTGAAGGTAATCTACAGATTGAGGTTAAGAGAATCCCCATAGTATTAGATGCTGACCTTGCTGGCTGCCTAATTATTTTTTTTTAATTTACTCATTTTTTAATTTTTATTTTTAGAGAGGGGATGGGCGGGAGAAAGGAGAGAAGCATCGGTGTGTGGTTGCCTCTCACACACCCCCTGCTGGGGACCTGGCCCACAACCCAGGCATGTGCCCACCAGGAATCAGACCCACAACCCTTTGGTTTGCAGGCTGGCCCACTGAGCCACACCAGGCAGGGCTAATTATTTCTTCATTGAAGAAAGCACCTTGTATGTCTCATGGATCATTGGTATATGTGTAAGGGTGTCATACAAATACATTAAACTGGTTTGTCAATAAGGTTGCAATTATAGAGAAAGGCAAAAATTTACACAGTAAAAGATTTTAAAAGTCTAGTTTTCTGCTTTAGCTTTTCATTATTCTAAACTCAGCTTCCAGTATGTGACCTTTACATTTATATGCAGTTTGATCTTTTGCTATTTCAACCCCAAAATTTCCAGTAGCTAATTTTTAGGACTTAATGTTAAAATTTACCTGAACTAGTGTCTCACTCTACTTTGTAATCATTCCTAATGCACTTTTTAACAATGTGAATAATTATAATGTCTGATGTTATAGAGAAGACCCCAGGAAATACCTTCAGTCAAGAGCAAACTTACCATACATGTAGCCTCATCAAATTTGTTTCCCCAAATGTAGATATTAGAGAGCGTGGGATTTGTTTTCATTGACTGTGAAAGTGCAACAAGTCCTTCTCCCTCTATGCTGTTGCTGACTACTGACAATCTATGGAAAAACAGAAAGTACTAACCTTGGAAATCAGTATTTCCATAAAAAGAGAATGCATACGTTAGCAACATTTCTTACAAACAGGTTATTGTGTAAAGTCTTAGCATTATTCTTAAATATGTTTAACATAGTCAAAATATTGGCCATGTAATTCCTAATATCCAAGAAACATAGTTTTCTAATTGTATGCTTCATGTACCTAGTAGGGCTACCTACATTTTGGAAATTGTTTTTATATTATTCAGTAAATGTTTGGGGATGGATTACAGATATATTTTTCAAGATAAAGTCACCCAAGTAATATTTTCTTTGATTCGTGTTTTATTTTTAGATGATCAATATGAATGATTATGATTCTTCTGTTAGAATTCAGGATAAATATAAGCAGTAAGAATTTTCTCACTAATTTTAAGCAATCAACTAAAATCAATCTTAATTTTTAAAGTATTTTTGAAAAATAGAAGAAATTGAAATGTTTACTATACACTTAATGTTATATCAGTTTAGAAAACAAGTTTACATATGTCATCATAAAGCTTGAGTTAAGTGGTTTGAAGTTACATTTAAGTTTTTCTGTTATTTTGATTAAATATAAAACCATACTAACGCTTTAAGACTCCTGTTGTGTGAAGCAAGTGTTTCACTGAGTTTCTTTGCTCCTGCATTTTCTATTCTGTTAAAAGAAAGATCTATTACTTCCAGGGTAGTATTGCTTTTCAGTACAGCAGCCAAAAACACAATTCCGTCACGAGTTATTTTATTGCTGGAAAGGGAAAAATATGTAATTATATTTAAAAATATAAAGCATTTTGTTCATAGAGATAACATGCTTAAAGACTATTATAGAGTGCCCTGACTGGCATGACTCAGTTGTCCTGCAAAATGAAAGGTCACCAGTTCAATTCCCACCCAGGGCACATGCCTGGGTTGCAGGTTTGGCCCCAGGTTGGGGCATGCATGAGAGGCAACTGATCAATGTTTCTCACATCGATGGTTCTCTCCCTTTTTCTCCCTCACTCCCCCCACTAAAAATAAAATCTTTTAAAAAAATATAGTGATAAACAGTATACTTCCTAGTTTAGCGAAGATTTAATCACTCAATTTCAAAAAAAAGCTAATGAAAATTTGCCAAAAAATGTTGCTTCTATTACAGTTTACATAATTAAATTGCTGGAATTATTAGGTGATTAATATCATTATAAATTAAATTCTAAAGCTTAGGAGAAAAAGTTGACAACAGTAGTTGTATTCTCTAATGTTTGGAATAAAATATCCTATATACTATGAATATTTACATAGATTATTGCCACAACTTGACTTCTGAATTACTTATTGTATAAATTATCACCTACCAGCTGACATCAAGGTAGCGCAGGCTTTTGTTCAGATACAGTGCATCACACAGCTGTTTTAAACCATAGTTTCTTACATCATGCTTACTCATGTATAATTCAACAAGGCAGTGATTTTCTTTTAACATGTGGCCTAGGTGAACTGTGGACTCTTCCTAAAAATAGATAAAATTGTTTTTCTAAGGTACAGTTTTGAAGTAGTGCATGTTTATTCTGAACATATGCTAAGTTATTTAAATTAGCTTTTTAAAAAGATATTACTTGAGACAGTGTGTAATTTACATTTTGTTTGGCCTGGCTTTTTTAAAAAAAGCCATTTTCACCATAAATGATAATCTTTACCATTTTGTCACAAACGATATCTTTATTGTCTTAGAAACAGGGAGCAGGAACTTGTAAAACGCAGTGACTCCTTGAAGCTCCTTGAAGACCAAAGGCTCTGTGCTTTGTTTGACTTCTTATCTCTAGCACTCAGCACTATGTCAGTTTAGGGTTGCATTCAAATATTTATTAAGTGAATGAATCACAAATGAAGCAATTCACTGAATGCTTACTTTGAGCCAGGTATTTTGCTGGTCTTTAAAGAAGGATGCTTTTACTTGAGGATTCTGGATGTCTTGTTGAACTGATTAGATTTATGGACATGAAGCAATTAACATGTAAAATTCCCAAAATGTTGATAGAGAAAAGTGCAGAGATAATTCAGACAGAGATCTATGGAGGCAAAGAATGCAAAACACTTACGAACATGAAAAATACTTTAAAAATACGGTTCATTCTCAATGAGTCATACTAATGGGGAACAGTGAAGTAAGCAATTTAAAGACTGCATTAAGTACTTTGAACCTTTTCTTCTAGTAGATAATCTGTTTTTGTTTAGATCAACAATACAATGAGTTCTAATTCCCTAGCTTTTTACAACTGGTAAGAGAGGAAGGGCACCTACGAGAATGCTAAGGAGCAAGGGGAAGCTCTGGAAGTAGGAACCACATTTTTATCCATCCTTCTGTCTCCAGTGTGCGGCTTGTCGAAAGAACCCCGTCCAGGCCTCCCAGACTGCGGTGCACACAGATTTTGCCATTATCACTCATGATTTCAACATAATAAAACAGTTCACACCTGGCTTACAATACAATCTTTAGTATTTTTAATCTTTTATTCTTTTATTGTAACTACTTTGCCTCTCACAGTTTACTCATTGAGAATTTGTTTATGAGAGGAAAAAAAATGGCATGTTACTGCTTAAATAAGTAACCTCTGAAACATATTTAGTTTTAAAATCTTATCCAGAATTAATAATTTTCCTTTAAACTTTTTTTGTAAACAGTATACAGTTCTAAAAATACAATGCATTTGTGAACCTCGACATAACTTAGTAAGCAGTACTTTTGTTTTATTCACACGTGGTACTATCAACTACTACCATTTTGAATACATACCTGTTCACCATATAGTATAGGTCGGTTTAGGTTTATTCCTTTAATTGTTTGGTTTTGAGTCAGAACTGTAGCGAATGCTATCACACTTTGCATTTCCTACAAACAGGTAAATTCATTAAGGAAACTGACAGTATATAAATTAATTTCCCTATAAATAACCATTTCAAGATGAATAATCTGGAATCTGGTAAATCAAAATTGTGGTTTTACAACCTTTAAGCGCTTCCTGCTCCTTGAATTCTCGGTTGACCCAATTCAGAAATAGACTGCTGCGCTCTTCCCTCGCCGCCCTGACACCTGTCGCCAACACGCAGGGAGGTTTCGGTACCCATTTCCTCGGGTGTTTGCCTCCAGGTCTGCTCCTGAGCCCTCGGGGTTCTTTCTACACGGCGCCGACCTCAGAGACGCGCGCACGCGCGGACCGCAGCCAGGGCTCCGTGCCCCTGAGAACACAGCCTCGTGCCCGCATTCTCTTGCATTCACTCTCATACCTGAAGTGTGCGTGTGTGGCGGGGAAGGGTTACTGAAGGCGTCTGCCCCACTCCACGGGCCTCCCTGCCTTACCGGGGGGCCGACCCGTGCCCCAACTCAGTGTCGCGGCCACCGCACACACCCGGGGGGGCATGCCGTAAACCCTGCACCGCCTCTCACTCCCCGGTCCTGCCGCCCTCCGTGACAGCGGTCATCCAGTCCGTGGGCCTCACAGACTCTGCCGCTAAAGAGGCCTCAGAGCAGCCCGCCTCGGTGGCCGCCCCCCGCCCCCGCCCTCATCTCCCACGGGCGCTGCTGCACTCACTTCCTAAGTGGGCACTGGGTTTCCTCGTGCCACCCTCATTCCCCACAGAGAAACTGGAATGACCTTTTGAAAGCACCAATCAGATCACACCACCCCTCCACTTAAGGCCTTTGCACGATTTGCGTCCCTAACAGAGTCCCCTCCTCTGGCCGGCCCGCTCCCACCGCCCACACACCCTGGGCTGAAGCGGCCGCTGCGAACCTCTCCGCCTTCCCCGGGCGGCGCTGTTCCACCTCTGGTCCAGCCACTGCCTTTTCAGTTCTTAAAACCTGCCAGCCTTGATATTTCGTCGTTCATGTACCTCCCACGTGATTTTTTTGCCGTATCCGAACATCAGTTTTACTATTCATCTAATACTTCTCCATGAAAACAACTCACTTTTTCACTTTATTTTAAAACCCTGTATCACTACCATGAATGGAAAACCATAATCCCTTGAAGTAAACAGAAAGCATCTGCAAACTGTGTACCTGTGTATTAAAATTACCTCAATCTGCATCAGTAATAGTACCTCTGCCACACTTGGAGAAGCAATATCAGAGTCTGCGCGTTGGACTTTTTGTCTGGAATGTTCTGCCACGGACCCTCTCCAAGGGGGGTTTTTCTCATCCTTGCGGACTCCTAAATATTACTTCCTCAGGCCTTAGGCGACGATCCTATTATGTGAATTACCTCCTCCCCATTATAAAGAGTACTTATTTGACCATCTTCATAGCATTTTTCTGTTTATTGATACTTTCCCAATTAAATATAGACTTTATAAGGGCAGAGGTCATATCCGATGCACTCTTGTATCCTTGGGATCTAGGGCCGTGACTGGAATGTGCAGAGGATCTGTACTGAGTTACTGCTTTCCCGGAGCCATACTGGCTGCGTCTACTACTGTTTGAACCCCCAGAGCCTATCATCCCAAAGAGCCTCCGGACCATCTTCCTGTATTTGTGCCCCCGTGATGTCATTAGTCTGTGTACAGGCCTCAAGGTCTGGTTTGAAAGCATGTTGAGAAGATAAAGCCTGGAATTTCAAGACATGCAAAAAACAAAACAAAACAAAACAAAAACCAAAAAAACACCACAGGCTTCTCATTATCAGGCCAGTTGAAGGCCCAGCGTGGCTTTTGGCATCATCCTTTTGGGTTTTTATGCTACAATATGACTACTCAATTCCAAGTGTTTTCAAAAGTAAAAAATTTATATTACACTAATAAAGTAGTATTTGTTTAATTAAACTGAACATGGCCTTTTTCTTTTAAAATTCCATACAGGTTGAGAAGAGCTACAGATGGAAGCTTAGCAAGGTTTTTATTATACTGGGAATTCTTCTATAATGTTATTTACTACAATAATTTTATTAAGTAAACACTATTATTAAGAAGAAGGAGGAAGAGAAGAATAAGGAAAAGAAGGAGGAGAAGAAAAAGAAGTTTTTTTCTGATATTAGACATTAGGGGCAAGCCTAATCATTTATTTTTTTCTTTTCAAAAATGTAATTATAATATCATTACATTTACAGTTTTATAGATAGATCAGAGTTTCCAGTAGTTTTTGAGAAAATGGTTTATTTTTTTCATACATACTTAAGAAACTGAATGCTAAACCAATTTTAACTTCAAAACCATCCTAATTTTTTAAATCATTTTCATTGTTATTTGATTACAGTTGTCCCAATTTTCCCCTTTTGCCCCCCGCGACCCATCCCACCCCCGACTCCCACAGTCAATCCCCACACTGTTGTCCATGTCCGTGGGTCATTCATACATGCTTTTTGTCTAGTCCCTTCCTCTTCTTTCCACCCTCCTCCCCTTCCCCCTCCCCTCTGGCTAATCATTCATAATAGTGCCATTTAGCTGGTCTCTGTGCCAGTTTCCCGGGAAAATGACCCATTACCTGTGTGATTTTCACGTAACCAAGTTACTCACCAGATCACAGTCACCCAGATCTAACTTCTCTAAGGATGAATTAATTTGTAACATTGCAGCAAAAAACATTCCACCTTTATCTTCAACCTTGTTTCCAGTCATTCTTAGGTATTTCAGAGTTGTATTCTTCTGAAAAGGAAAACAATCAAACCTTGGTCAAGTTGTTGGGGGTTTTTTAATCGTATTTTTTTTTTCATTACCACTGAGGCCCTTATACCATTGCCCTCGCAATCACTACACATGCCTGAGTCCTTTTTCCTTTTTGACTCATTAATTTTTCATGGAGCTAGAATAGGATATATTTCTTAACGGTAACATTCAATTTTTCATAATAGATAAAAATCTCGTTTAATAGCTCAGCAGAAAGAATAGCCAGGAAACAGATGCCAAACAATAAACTATAAGTGAAACAGATTTTTAATAACCTCTCCTTTCACTGGAAAATCTGGAAATTTGTCTTCTAAGAAACTTATACCATTTTTTTTATTGGGGTGAAAGTCATGTAACACAAAATTAACCATCTAAAAGTGAACAATTCACTGGTTTTTTGTGTATTCACAGTATTGTGCAGCCTTCGTCTCTAGCCAGTTTCAAAACATTTTCATCACTCCCAAGAGACCCTGTGCCCATTAAGCAATCACTTTTAAAGATATAGTTCTCAGACATTGGCAAAGTTTAATTCCTTCTTGTATTTCACTTTTTGGATAAATCTTTCACAAAGAATATTACAGACATTTCATTGTCCTAATGAATAAATGTAAATATCATGACATGTAAGTACAAATAGTTATCTTTAAGACTAATTCAAACTCCCCTTAGGGCAGGAAGAAAGCAAGGCTGTCCACTCACTAACACTATTTAACACTGTACTGAAGGTTCTAGACAGGGCCATTAGGCAAGGACAAGAAATAACAATAACAACAAAAGCATCTGAATTGGAAAAGAAGCAAGTAAAATTATCTCTGCTTGCATATGACAGATCTTATAAGTAGAAAATCCTAAGGAATCCATGTACACACACACACACACACACGCACACAAATCTGTTAGAATAAATGAGCTCAGCAAGATGCAAGACACAAGATCGACATATCAAACTGTATTCCTAAACACTAGCAATGAGCAGTCCAAAATGAACTTTAGAAGATTCCATTTACAATAGCACCAGAAAGAATAAAATATTATGAATAAATTCAACAAAAGAAGGGCAAGACTTGCACATTGGAAATTATAATGCGTCACTGAAAAAAATTAAAGAAGACTTAAAAAAATGGAAACATCCCATATTCATGATCAGAAAACTTAATATTGTTAAGATGGCAATAATCCCCAAATTGATCTAAAGTTTTAAAGCAATTTTTCTCAAAATCCCTGCTGCTCCTCTTGCTGAAACTGATAAACTGACCTCGAAATTCATAAGGAAATGCAAGTGACCCAGAAGAGCCAACATGGTCTTAAAAAAAGGAACAAGTTAACACACTTGTTAACTTCAAAACTTACTACAATACTACAGTAGTCATGATAATGTGGGATTGGCACAAGAATAGGCATATAGATCAAAAGAACAAAATAGAGAGTATAGAAATAAACCCTCACATTTATAATCAACTGATTTTCAACAAGGGTGTCAAAAAAATCCAATGGGGGAAAAATGGTCTTAACAAATTGCACTGGAACAACTGTATATATCCACAGGCAAAAGAATGACGTTAAACTTCTAGCTCAGGTCACAAACAAAAATCAACTCAAAATGGATCAAAGAACTAAATTTAAAAAAGAAGACATAAAATTGTTAGAAGGAAATAAGTATAAATCTTTGTTACTGAGTAAGGCAAAGTCTTCTAAGATATAACACCAGAAGTAAAAACAACACAAGAAAAAAATAGATAAACTTAACTTCATCAAAATTTAAAAATTTTGTGCTTCCAAGGACATCATTAAGGAAGTAAAAAGGCAAACTACAGAATGAGAAAATATTTGCAAAATATTTGATAAGGGACTTGTATCCAGAATACATAAAGAACTCTTACAACTCAAGAGGACAAATAATCCAATTTTAAAATGGGCAAAGAATTTAAACATTTCTCTGAAGATATACAAATGGCTAAAATCACATGTAGTACATATAAAGATTCTCAACATCGCTACTTATAGAGAAATGTAAATCAAAACAATCACAAAACCCCTTCATACTCACTAGGATGGCTAACATCCAAAAGACAATAACAAATGCTGGTGAGGATGTGGAGAAATTCAAACATTCATATACTGCTGGTGAAACTGTAAAAAGGGACAGCCACTTTGGAAAACAGTTTGGCAGTTCCTCAAAATATGAAACACAGTTACCAAGCGATCCGGCAATTCCACTCCTAGGTATATACCCAAGAAAAATAAAAATGTATGTGCACACAAAACATGTGCAAATATTCATGGTAACATTACTCATCAGAGACAAAAAATGGAAACCCAAATGTCCATCAATAGATGGATGAACAAAACGTGATGTACCCCTACAATGGAATATTATTTGGCAATAAAAACAATGAACCTTGAAAACATTAAACCGACCACAAAAGGCCACATGCTGTACAACTCCATTTCTATAAAGTGTCCAGAACAGGCAGCCTATAGATGGGCAGCAGACGGGTGGCTGGTGAGCAGGGGAGGGCGCCCGGAGAGGGCCGGCTAACGGGCACAGGGCTTCTCCTTGGGATGCCCCTGTTCTGACAGTGGGGACGGTGGTGCCGGGGGCACAACCCTGTGACTGTACTGAAAAAACCCCCCACAGAACTGAACACTTTAAAAGGGTAAGTTTTATGTATGTGAATTATATTTTAAGCTACTTTTTATTTATTTTTTGGGGGGGGAGAGGGAGAAAGAGAGGGAGAGAAACATCAATGTGTGGTTGCCTCTCGAGCACCCCCCTACCTGGGGACCTGGCCTGCAACCCAGGCATGTGCCGTGACTGGGAATAGAACCAGCAACCTTTTGGTTTACAGGCTGGCACTCAGTCCACTGAGCCACTCCAGCCAGGGCTGAGTTACTTACTTTTAAGTGAGTTCAAAAGTGCTCATATTATGTTCACACTTTAGTAAATTGAAGTGTAATAAAAAATATACATCCCCACAATATTAAAATAATATAACTCTACATTAACATTTAATTTTGTTGTTTCCAAGACATCAGAAGGTAAAATTCCCAAATACAATGTTAGTTTGAGGTAAATACTTACATGTAGTGCTTTAGCAATCAGTTCTCCACCTTTGGGCCCAATGTCATTAAACATAAGGTTTAAGTAAATGAGATCATACTTTTTCTATAATAAGGAAAGAAGAGACACTATTATACATGTATTATTAGAAATCAATAATATATGAGCTGCTTTATTTAAGTAAAAGTGTTTGCCTCCAAAGACAATCTTTATAAACCAAAAAATCTGAAAGTGTAGCAAAAGAAACTACAATTAAGGGGAAAAATCACTATTCTCATTTAAACATAAATATAATTGCAATACAAATGAGAGAGAATATCCTCCATTTCAACCAATGATTCAAAGTATGGACATGCTCTATGTGTCCCACTGTAGTGTACAAGTTGGTAAAAGATGACTCAGGAGCTCTAGTGACCAGCTCTGCTGAGGCCAAATGCACAAATGCATTTTTCAATATATTTCAAATGTGGTAAATATACCATAGCCAGGACTTGACATTTTGCAAAACTAGTGTTTGTGTGTGTGCCATTACACTTAGTGGTTTCACTGCAAACAGAAGAATATTTTGATGATTTTGCGGCATTTGTGATTTCTGAGAATAACATTTCTTCATCTTTTAATCTTCATTCCGTCCTTAGATTGTATGCCATGTTAAGCTCATTAAAAGCACTTTTAGAAGATGAGGTTGGGATAAGTAGTTACAAAATTAAAAAGCCAATGTAAGGGAAGAATTAAAAAAAATGATATATGCTGCTTTAGACATTTTATTTTAATTGAAAATAGAGACAAACACATATTTGCTGATCTTCTGAGGTTGAAACAAGGCCTTTTTTTAAAAGTACTCTTTCTCTAATTAGTGGACCACACTGTCTTTCTTAGATAAAAGGCAACCGTAAGGCAGCATGTAAGTTTGAGTGTCTCCAAAGCGAATCTGCAATAAATAGTTAATTTAGCCAGCTTAGCATGTTCTAACTCTGCACATTCCAAAGAAAGGACTGGTTCTTAATTGGCCTCTCGAAGGAAAAAAAAAGACATAAAGCATTTTGTAGTAAAATAATACCTGGAGCAGTTTTGCAGCATAGTGTGCGCCAGCATCATTTATGAGGTTATATCTAACATCCAAGCCTGAAAGACAAAGATGAATATAAACTGACATTCCCAATAATGGATACTTGAAATCAGGAAAATAATAGCACGAGTAATGATTCTTAAGGAGACATACCATTAATATAAGGATTCTTCTCTAAAATTCTGGTAAGAATCCAAAAATCTTCACTTGTTACTCTTTCCACTGGTACTGAGTGATTGTTACCAGCAATTTTTAATGTGATTCCTTCCAACCTGTTAAAATACAAATAAGAAACTTAGTAAATAAATAAAAGAATTTTTTTCTTCATCTGTAAATAGTAACAACATGGACAGCATTTATCAGAACCAAATATGTGTACCTCAATATAAACTTATAGCAAGTAACTTAAAACTACTAAATTTTACACAGACTTTGCTAAGCACTTTAATATATACTATATATATTACCTACTGTGTTGACTAAAAAGTCCATTTAGTTTTTTCCATACAAATCTAGTAGTGCTCTAGTAGTGTTTAGTTGTCTTTAACTTCATTCAAAACAATTTTGTTAGGTTGTATTGTGACAGCTGTCATATCAACGTGCATTTAAAAAAACTTATCAAAGTTGGTGAATTTGGGGGTAGCCATTTTCATATTGAAGATGGAAGGGAATACACAACATTTCTGGCATATTATGCTTTATTATCTCAAGAAAGGTAAAAATGCAACTGAAAAGCAAAAAATGATTTGTGCAGTGTATGGAGAAGGTGCTGTGACTGATCAAATGTGTCAAAAGTGGTCGCAAAGTTTCTTGGTATTATTGACATTTTGGCCAAATAATTCTTTGCCGTGGGGCTGTCTTATACATTGGAAGACGCTTAGCAGCACCCCTGGCCTCTGCCCATTAGAAGCCAATAGCAGGAGATCGCTGACATACTCAAAATATGCAAATCAAAAAAGTTATTGGTAAAAATGAAAAAATGTGTCTTTTATTTTACAGAAAAAACTAAACGGACTTTTTGGCCAACCCAGTCATTTCTCTCTCACACACAAAAGTATCCTCACTGGATATATAATAACATTGAAGATGTCAATGATTTGTATAAACAAACCGAGCTCACAGGAGTTAAGGACAAACCCGGAGCCCAGATTTGGAGACTGCTGGTCTGGTGCTGTTCGCAGAATACTACGCTCACTGCCTCCGAAACCTACTAACAGTGCCAGTCAACTACTTCTCTCAATCAAAAGGTATGTCCATTTTACCAAGCATGTGCAAATAAATGGCTTTGAATTCACTCAGTATTACAGGATTTTCACAGATGAGTATCAGGGAATATTATTCATACAATCAAGTATTTGCTTTCCTTACCTCCTTTCAATTTCTTTATCCACTCCTTGGAGTATATGCAATATAAAAGGATTAATTTTCTGGGACTTTTCCATACATAGATGATTATAATGTTCCCGGAGACTGTCAAAAGCCTCTGGAGCTTTTGAAAAATAAATGCATTATTATTACTCCCCATCATATATAAATAATTCCAGGAGCCTCCCCCTCTCCCCAAAAATTACACTTCTTTCAGAGATATGAATGCGTGTGTATAGAGTCCAGTGGAGAGAAAAGGAGACAGAATTAAGAACAGACAAAGAGGAAAGAAACAGAGGTCAGGAATGGGAGAGAATAAAAGTGCTGTCTGGAGAACTAGGGCCATAGAAACAGCCACTGAGGGTGGGCAGACACTAACTTGGCAGTGACACAAAAGGAGAACCAACCTCTGCAGGTACCAAGGCTGGTAGCTCTGGTAGCTGAGGAAAGTGATGTCAGAGAAATTAAATATTTTATCCAAACTCATGCAATTACTAGGGCAGAATACAGAATCAAACAGACTCCAAAGCTGCTTTCCACTCTGCCATATTGGGTTAAGGTAACTCTAGGTTTCCTATGATGGCTTCAAATAAAAATAGTTTTATCAGAGAACTCAAATTCAAAAGGGATCTGAACAATCAATCACCAAGTCCCTTAGGTTTCTTGGATACCCTCATACCACGCAAATTGATGGCACCTTTGGATATAGCTCTATCGGTTCTTCTGAACACTACATTGAGGTCAGATGCACAGAAAGAAGCTCTTCACCTACCCTGCCGTCCAGTCCCTCTTTCTAAAGGTGATTTCCCCCGTGCCCCTGTTCAGTCCTTAATGAAGAAGACAGAAACAAAGCAGTAGTTGAGATCTCCTTCGTGTTTTGGATTTTACTTTAAAAGCCTTTGTTTTCAAGGTCCAGGCCTTCTCGGGGGAAAGCTACCTATCACTGCCTTTGTTTTCTGTCCTACCTTTCATGTGAAATCTCTTTTAAAAGTCTGTGCTCAGAGATCTCACTGCTTAAGGAGGATGTGTTTTTTAGGAACCAGCTTCTCTAAGTCTAACATCTCAATGATGCCCTTTGATGAGTGGATTCTGCCCTATGTAAATTAAAGAGTTTGCTAAACAAATATGCAAAACAAGATTTAAGATAAGAAACATTTATATTAAAAATGAAAGCAAATAAGCTTTTCTTAATTTTTTAAAAATAGGCTTTAAAAATAAATTAATAGCCCTAGCTGGTGTGGCTCAGTGGATTGAGCACCGGCCTGCAAACCAAAGGGTCACTGGTTCCATTCCCAGTCAGGGCACATGCCTGGGTTGCAGGCCAGGTTCCCAGTAGGGGGCACGCGAGAAACAACCACACATTGATGTTTCCCTCTCTTCCTCCCTTCTCCTCTGTCTAAAAATAAATAAATAAAATCTTTAAAAAATAAATAAAAGTAAATTAATAACACACACTTAGAAATTTCAGCATCAAAAAGGAACAGAGTTCTGATCAAGGTGGTGGTGTACATAAACTCAGCATTCGCCTTCTGCCACAACCAAATCAAATTACAACTAACCTACACAACAAACATCATTGAGAACCACCTGAAATCTAGCTGAACAGGAGTCCTGTAACTAAGGATATACAGAAGAAGTCACGTGAAGGCTGGAAGGAGGGGCAGAGACACAAACTGGCAGGTCCCATGCCTACATGTGATGGTTAACAATCGAGAGGGATATCTCAGGGGTACTCCGTGAGGAACAAGGGGCCCCAGCCCCACACCAGGATCACCAGCCCAGGTTTCCAGTGCCAGAATGAGAAGTCTCTATGACTTCTGTCTGTGGAAACCAGCAAAGATTGCAGCTGAGTTGTTGGAGTTCCAGGTGTTCCTCTTAATGGGCCCATGCACGGACTTGCTGACAGACTGACTCACTCTGGGGTGGCAGGTCTAAGGGCACCAGGGTGCATGTGGAAGAATTGAATTGTCTGGCATCAGGGCGAGGGCTGGAGGGGCAGCTTTCTCCCTGACAGAAGCACTGTTCCTTGCTGAGGACTCCCCTTGAAGGCTCAGGATGCCATAGCTGAATCTCTATCAACCTGGTTAACACCTATCGCCTTACCCAGAGACCCTGCCCCACCTAATTTGCAGGCCCAACCAACCCACTTCAAGTGGGATTTCTTTCCATACAAATGGCCTGTTTTGGCCCACACTTTGGACTAACCTAAAATCTCTGAAAGATCCGCAAACCCCAAACAAGCAGCATCTGGCCTTGGCCTGCCACCTACCTCTTGCTAAGCAGACTCAAGCCCTGCACTAGGGGTAGCCAGGCTCAGTCTGCAGCTTAGACTTTCCCAGGCACCTCCAAGCCCAGCACAAGTGGCAACCATCTGCATATCACTTTATCTCACGTGGACAAGGAACGGGGAGCAGCTGACCTCGGCCTGCACCTCCAGGGAAGCCCCAGAGCCAGAGCACCCAGGACAGGTTCAGACCATGCCAGAGAACCACCCAACCACTCTTCAAGCCACATGCTCTGAAGGTGGACTCGGCAGACACCAGAGCCCCACTGAAGTGAGTCCTGCTCCACGGGACTGGTCCCTACACAGCAGCTCCTCTGCTGTAGTCACAGCAAGTCCCCAAAGAAGCCAATCAGCCTAGGGGGTCAATCTTTCCTACTGACATGGCAACTGCAATCAAACTCAACTACAACAGGAGGGTGCACACAGCCCACATGGGGTAGGGGCATATCTGAAGCACCCTTCTCAGATGACTGGGGAGGCTGCCCCACGGGGCCCCAGAGCACACCTATTACATAAGGTCGCTCTGCCAAGACAAGGAGACATAGCAGCTCTACCTAATATACGGAGCCAAACAGAGGCAGGCAGCCAAAATGAGACAACAAAGAAACATATCCCAAATGAAAGAACAGGACAAAACTTCAGAAAAAGAACTAAACAAAATGGAGATAAGCAATCTACTAGATATGGAGTTCAAAATATTGGTTATGAGGATGCTCAATGAATTTAAGGAAGAATAGATCAGCTCAAACAGAACTTCAACAAAGAGATAGGAAACATTAAAAATGTAGATAGACAACATAAAAGAGGACCAGTCAGAAATGAAGAATACAATGACTGACATGAAGAATCTACTAGTAGGAATCGACAGTAGATTACATGAAATGGAGGACTGAATCAGCAACTTTGAAGGTCAGGTAGTAGAAAACACCCAATCAGAACAGCAAAAAGAAGCAAGAATCCAAAAAAAAAAAATGTGGATAGGTTAAGAGGCCTCTGGGACAACATCAGGCATAGAAATATTCACATCATGGGGATACCAGAAGGAGAAGAGAAAGCAAGGAATTGAAAACCTATTTGAAAAAATGACTGAAAACTACCCTAACTTGGCTAAGGAAATAGACATACAAGTCCAGGAAGCACAGAAAGTCCCAAACAAAATGAACCCAAAGAGGCCATCCTCAAGACACATCATCATTACAATGCCAAAGGTAAAGACAAGGAAAGAATTTTAAAAAGAAGCAAGAGAAAAGCAGTTAGTTACCTACAAGGGAGCTCCAAAAAGACTGTCCATTGATCTCTCAACAGAAACTTTGCAGGCCAGAAGGGATTGGCAAGAAATATTCTAAGTGATGAAAAGCAAGGAACTACAACAAATATTACTCTACCCAGCAAAGTTATCATTTAAAACAAAAGGATAGATAAAGAGCTCCCCAGAAAATAAAAAGCTAAAGGAGTTCATCACCACCAAACCAGTAATACAATAAATGTTAAATGGTCCTCTTTAAGAAGAAGGGGAAAAAGATAGAAAAAAATATGAATAATAAAATGGCAATAAATACATATCTATCAACAATTACTTTAAATACAAAGGGATTCAATGTTCTAATCAAAAGATACAAGGTGCCTGAATGGATAAGAAAACAAGACCCATATGTGTGCCATCTACAAGAGATTCACTTCAAATCAAAAAACACACAGACAGAATGGAAGTAAAGGGATGGAAAAAGATATTTTATGAAAATTAAAATAAAAAAATAAGCTGTGGTAGCAATACTTATACCAGACAAATAGACTTTAATCAAAGGCTATGTAACAAAGGACATAGAAAGACTCAGAAATTCCACTCCTGAGTGTTTATATAAAGAAACCCAAAACATTAATTCAAAAAGACACATGCATTTGTATGTTCATTGCAGCTTTATTTATAGTAGCCAAAATATGGAAGCAAACTAAATGCCCATCAATAGAGGGAGAAAGAAGAAAATTACATATATACAATGAGATATTACTCAGCCATAAAAAAGAATGAAATCTTGCCATTTGCTACAACATGAATGAACCAAAAGGGTATTGTGCTGAGTAAAATTAAGTCAGAGAAGGGCAATTACCATATGACTGCACCTATATGAGAGATCTAAATAACTAAATAAATTAACAAGCAAAACAGAAACATGGGAGGGAGGTGGGGATGGGTGGGGCAGGGGGGAGCTGTCGGGGGCGGGGGGGGGGAATGGAGACAACTGTGCTTGAACAACAATAAAATTAAAAAAAAAAAAAAAAGCAGAAACAGTCTTATAGATACAGAGAACATTTTGATAGTGACCAGGGGGCAGGGGGAAGGTGGGAAGGGAGCTGGGTGAAAAAGGTGAAGGGATTAAGAATCACAAACCGTGGTTACAAAATAGTTGTTACGATGTTAAGTACAGCATAGGGAATATAGTTGCTAATATTGTAATAACTATGTGTGGTGTCAGGTGGGGACTGGAAATATCGGGTGATCACTTCCTAAATTATATAAATAACTGATCACTTGGTTGTGCATCGAAAACTAATATAATATGTTAACTGTCACTAAGACATAAAAAATTACTAGAAAAGAAATAAACATTCATCAGCAATCTCATTGCCAAAGAACCACCACAATTGATGTCTGGGGCCATTGCCTTTCTATTGTTTTCTTTTATACGTACTGTTAAACAAAATTGGAACATTTAAGTATAGTTCTATAGCCTTTCGTTTTCAGATAACATTGTGAGTTTTCCCTAGTTATTAGATATTCCCTGAAAATTCTTAATGTCAGCATAATTT